GAAACCAGCTGACGCATTCGCATGACCCGATACTGACATAACAGGGGAGGGGCTAAATCTACACCCTACATGTAACCTATCTGATGCAGTGTGTATACGTTCCCTTTCGATAGGCGAAACACCCCGAGTCGAGTGACATACAAATTATACATTTTTGTCACATCGTTGCACAAGTAAAAAAAAACAAATCGCTAGCTATGTTTACTACGTACATTGTTTGTAGAAAGTAAAACTTTCGTTTGCAAAGCAATTCTTGCGTTCCGTCAAACCACTATCCTACGAATAAGTACAGTACTGCTTTCTTTTTGACATTTAATGGGTGACAGGAAAGATGGGTTAGCTTGTTGATAGTTGTCAGTATATTATTGCCACAAAGGTTGTTATGCTACTTTATGATTTTTGTCAAGGTGAAATGTCTCTTTAAAGTGAATTCATCCTTCGAAAACACAATCTTTATATGACCTGAGCTATTGCGAGGACCTAAAACTCCAAACAAACCAACTATGTTACGGTTATTACGTTTTAAAGAGATGTCACTGAAAAATTGCCTAATCATCTGTGGACACCGTCGTCATATGACCTACACATGACCTTCACATGACCTCAGCTGTCGCGAGGATATAAATCCAAACAATCCAAACGTATCCTCGGTATACCAGGTATTTCATCTACACTGAATGTGTTCTGCAGTAGTCAACGAAACCTTTTTTTTAACACACCTTCTGTTTTTTCCAACTTTTCGGTTCGTAACATCACTGAGGAGTCCTAGAAGGACGAAACAGCTGTATGATGCTGGATAATTCATTTTAGACATCCTGTATCTATTACCAAGTTTTAAAGCTGTGTGTGTGTGTTTGGTTCATCGGAATAAATTTCAATATTTGCTATTTTTTAAAACAGGTTGTCATATCTAAGATCGTTGGTTGTTGACACATCGTTATACATGTCTCATTTAACAAAAACGTTTATAAATTCCCAATCTGATGTCGTTTCTGTTGTTTCATTTCTTTGTATGTCGACATCGACAAGCAATAATATTATTGTGTCGACATTTTGGTACTGGTTTTATAATTTCATTTCATTTCTTTTTACATCTCTCCCTTCTTCAGCTTAGTAACTCTGTCTGCGTATAAAGTAGCGTATACGCAGTGGAAAAAAGGCTCGGCGGTTTGATACTTGTTTCAAATATGGCGCCAGTCACGCTTCAACGAAATAACAGTCCAATGGCAACCAATGCTTGGATCATTCACCATCTAGATACAAAGAACATTTACAACAAAAGAATTCTGACAAATTTCTTATTCCATGGATGTACGTTCTGACCGCGTCACTCAATGGGCAGTGTGTCATATGCGTACATGACGATCGTTGTAAATGATTCGAAAATATCGAAGGGCTTCTCACGTTGATTTATTTAAAATTTAAAACACATAAAAGGAAAACTAGTGTTGTTCACTGCGTATTTTCTAAATTTACTCATAGCAACCACGGCTACCGTTGTTACCATCGTGGCAACCCGCTTTGACCTTTTTTCTCCGTTATGTAGCATTTAAATATTTTTGATTGTAAATATAAGACTAACGCGCACCATGGAATATGTTCGTTGCCAACTGCGTTCATACTACCGTATATGCCGTCAAAATGAAGTTCAATCCTTAAATATTTTATTAAATCAATCAGAGTTAAAGCGAATTTGGAAACAGGCAAAGCCTATACAAGCCCTCTCCGTGTTTTTTGAATTCAAACAATAGCAGATAACAAACTATGAATATCAACATTGGTTTGAAACGTAAGAAATACAATTTTGTATGCAAGTATTACTGAAAATACAAAGAATGCCAATCAGAGTCGATAAATGAAACAAAATGACAAAACATCATACTGTTAAAAACATGTTAATCTTTATTGTACTTGTGCAAAAACAAATTAAAAATTGAAAAAAAATGCAATATAAATTGAATTTGTGTTACATTACATTTAACATCGATGGTGACCTTCACTTGTTTATTTTTTTAAGTTACATAAAATTAGTAGATTGTACGTCATGTGTTATTATTCCGCATTGCACGTGGGTATGCAATCTTATAGAAACCTTTCATGCTGGCAAATAAAACGCCAAGCTCACATAAGACATTCATACTTTGTACAAACGTTCATACATAAAAACAGACAGGCTTTCTTATCCACGTGACCTGGATTTTTAACCCGAAACCAGACTTACTTTGCAACTTGGTCAATAGTTATAACAGCTTGTAAGGAAAGTGCTATTTTGTATGTAGGGATTATCAGATATTTTTATATATACGTATTAGTGCTGCCATCCGTGTTCACTATAGCGGTTGTGTAACTGCAATCAGTTTTGATAAGAGGAGAAATGACCTTATGCCTTTCGTGACAATACTCGTAGTTCAAAGTGTGTCTATTCGTGTGTTAAGATAAATCTAACTTTTTGGAGTTTATACGAGAAGCATGGCCCTGTAGATATCGGTACGTTGTCATAGGCTTAGTGAGTAAAGTAAAGAAGAGATGTAAACTAAATTTTCAAAATTTTGTAAACAAAAATCATATTTACTTGTTGGATTCATTGAGGTATAAATGTAATAGAGTTATTATTATTGGCAAAAATCATACAATGAAATATTATAATTTCTTTTTATCATTTAAGGGTAATTGAAAAAGGTGATGATATATGTATAAGATAAAATATTTATTGAAGAAAACAAAACATCATTTACACATCCATTTATTTTTTCATTTACTTGATAGTGACGTCATTGTATGACGTAGTGACGTCATTGTATGGCGTAATGCTTCGTGGGTACAATATAAAAGGTAAATATAGGACGAAAGAAAAATAATTCTAAACACAATTTATAGTGATTTATTTGTTTCATGAATGATGTTTTGTGAGAAACATATTTATGAAATCTGACTTATTTATATAATGAGATTGAATATGAAATAATGCTTTTGAAATCAAATTATATCTTACAATTACAATACTAACTTAAGAAGTGTTTGGATATATATTTTTATTTTTATAATGTCTAAACTAAGGAAATTCACAATATGATATCAAATCATTATAATCAAGATAAAATACTGGGTGTGCATTTAGCTGTTTATTAATATATTATCTCACAGTGCGATCACTAACATAACCTCAGCAGAGCACTACACGTATCTGTTCTCGTATTTACACTCAATGCGTATGTAGTTCTCTATGCACGTGTGTGGAAAATAATCGCGAGTGGAGTTCAAAACCGAAATAAGGCCATTTACTGACAAAATGATACATATATCAAGTTTAACACGTAAATAGCGATGCAATATTTCGGTTTTCCAATAAAGCAACATTATTTTCTTGGGAGGAATCAAGAGTTAATCCAAATTCCGTTTTTAGAATCACCTGTTGAATATTTTTTGCAGTTATTTATTGTGAAATTGAGTCATTTTTTGTGTATTTTTAAGAATAATTATTACGTTTATAATTGATACATATATAACATGTTTGCAACTCTTAAAAGTGTATGTGCTCACAAATGCATTTACAGAAAATATTTATTTTTGGTAAATAAAAGTTATATACAGCATGTCCAGAAATTTCTTTTTCATGAGATAACAGGAGAATCGTTGAATTGACAATGATAAGTGGTACTATATTTCAAATATAAGTAAAAAGCATGTACCTTTCATATACGCATATTTACAATTGTAAGTTATATATAACAATTACAACAGACATAAGAATTGCAGTAAAAAAACATACATACCATGCACCATATAATGCAAGTTACTTGACTAAGTATTTCTTACATTAATATACAGGTATCAAACATTCATACTCATGTATACACTTTTCATCTTTACCTAGTTTTATCAAGCTTTATTTAACCAATAACTCGTTAAATCTTTAGTAATAGAAAAAAAACCAAGAGAAACAAATTCTTAAGCACAATGAGATTCGAATCGTAGATATTTTCAGAAATCTTGAAATCTTAATACGAAGTGCAGTTGTCATTAGAAAGAATAATAAACCAAAATATAATACACAACAGTACTTAAATCATTGTAGACAATTTAACATTTTAAAATGTGGTCAACATACCTTTATCACGAAGCATGTCTAGGTATACTGTAACTACCAGTCTTATTCCGTATATTATCATTAAGCTAAAAAGAAACCTGGCTATGCCCATCTGGTCAATATTCCATCATTAAGCGGAAACGAACCTTGCTATTTTCCTTTCTTTTAACTGTTCCATCTTTTCCTGTTCATTGTCCATCATGAAGCGAAAACAATATCCTTTCTATACCAAATATCGTCAACTTTTTATCTCTAAGCGTAAAAAAACGTATGGGATGTGTTTCATCCCATCTTGTTGAAACCTTGCTTTAGCCATTCTTGATCAATGTTGCATCTTTATGTGAGAAATACAACTTTCTATATTTCATCTTGTTCAATGTCCATCTTTCAGTAAAAAGTAACCCTGCTATATCCCATTTTGTTCTTTACTTCTTTCTTAATGTCATGTTCGTGTCAACTTTAATATCAAATAAATAAAAAAATATTAATGTACTAGTTCTTAAGGGATATACATATATATCATAGGCCTCAAACTGATCATTAACATATGATGATATGACATAAATATTTGTATAGGACTTGAGACAATGCCTAATGCCAATGAGGTCAGTTTAAAATTGATTTAGTCATTATTGGGGTTACAAAGCTTGGTAAAACTGGTTCATAGTTATCAAATCGCCAATTAAAGCCTAATTTATGCAATGTGCTAGATGCCTTTGTAGTCAATATACACAGTGTAAGACGTGTGTTTTCATATACAATTCTATACTTATTCTTTCTCAGTATGAGATGTCTCATGATTTACATTATCTTAATAACACATTAAGCGATACATTTGTTGAAATATTTGTATAAAGGAAAAAACATTTGTTGAAATATTTGTATAAAGTTTTTTTTTTTTTTTAGTGTTTTGTTCAACTATTTTTGTATTTTGCTCTGCAAAACAAAAACAGCGGTAAATTATATTTGAGTTAATCAACTTTAATATCCTCCTTTTAAAGTTATTTTTGTGTTCGACATTTGGATCCTTAGTGTGCCTTCTGGTTAGTGGTCACTACATGTACCAGAGTTAAGTGTGAAGATGTAACATTACTTGGCTTTTACCTAATTTACATGACAAGTGTCGTCGCTGAAGCAGAAAACGCGTACCCTTTCGAAACATCTGGTCGTATGCTCCTTGTACTTGTTCACTAGTTTTGTCGATTTAGATTTATATTGTGATGACACTTTGGGATTCTTTTCTGGACTTTTGATATGCTATTTAATTCCTTAATGTGCAATTAAACTAATCAAACATGATATTTGTGACTGATATGATCGATGATAATAGAATGAAACTGACATAGTCCATACCATTCTTGTATACAGTATATGTGGATACTAATTCACAACCCCCACATACCACGAAATACGAGTCTTAGTTGTATAATGTTTACAACAGCTAATTAAACCAAACAGTGATAACGTGTATGGTTAAATCAAACAATTTGAAATGATATTTTTCACAGAAAGGTAGCCTCATTCGTAATAGAGACTTCATTCATTCCTTCGCTTTATGGCCACAATGATGCAAAGTATTGCCGATTCACCGTCTACAGCTGGCAGTAAAGCTTATCGTTTAGTCCACGTTTCACTTCATGTAATAACATTCCGTTGTTTTTGTACGAACATTTTCGGAATCACCATTTTCCAGAACAGATACCCACTCCATGGTTCCAAGTCCTGAGAAAAGTGGCCGACTGTGCATTGTTGAATATGACATACATACACACATATAACACATATGAGGGGTTTTCCCCATATATGATATAGGTAAATTACATAATAATATTTTCCTCTTTTCATATTCATGGAATGAGCGAGGGTTTAGACACACACAGCGTAGAATGAGATGTTTGAGTGAATACGTTCTCATCCGTCTTAGTTATCTTTTGCTTTCATTATATGTCTTTCAAACGTGTAATGAAATCGATTCGGTGCGACATTATTGAACCGAAAAAGTGACGTCAAGATATATCTGATGACGTCAAAGATTTATATCGTGACGTCACACTTGGGTGTGTGTGTTGTTTGTATCCGGGTAAGGGTCAAAACCAGGCAGCTGTGTTGGTCCCGTATATGTATACTGAAAATCAAAATAACGGGTAAATACACACGAAACAACAACAGGAGGAAACACTAATTACAAACGTAAAAATAAACTAAATATACAGAACTTTCACGGAGGTCATTTTCTGAAAAGGAAAGATTGGGAAGGGAAAATATAATTCAAGGATTGCGCTAGTGTAAGCCTACCTATTTGTCTAGCAATACAAAAATTACATCTAAAACGTATAAAAAGCGTTTGTTAAAACCTGTTTCAGCGCACTCTTGTACAATATGTAAGGTTATGACTATACATGAAATTAACAAAAATGTGTTTCTTATGTGTTTGAGATTCTTTAATATGAACATAACAATAAAGTCTTGAATTTTGATCCAATATTAACTCTATAACGAATATATAGTGATAATAAGCTTACTAAATGTGTGCTCTGTGCCCTTTTTATACCCGACTACACAACATTTTCTGCCTACACATTTCACTACTGATTGTCATGGGTGACACGTGACAAAACACAAACTACGTACATCTAGACATCAGGGGCCACTCGGGTAAGCTCTAGTTTTTTTTCCATCAAACTACACAATATCAAAACTCTTAACACCTGCCCGTGATCCACCATTAGAGAGAATTGCAGAAACAAACAGTTGACATATTTGTGTCTGTCAGTATATGTATATTCTGATGTATGTTGGCATAATAGAAAACGATTCTCTGCGTGAAATGTTGTTTTCGGTCCCTATTCGAATAGAAACAAATGCTTCTACACACTGAAGCTACATTATGTACCTACCACAGACTTTTCTATTTATGTATTTAGTCCAGTGGCTGCTAATTCTTTTGCAGTTTTGTTACGAAAATTTAAGAAAATTTATAGCGTCTTTGGGGATATATATATTCATCAGCTACACTTATAAACAATCTCCAGATGAAAAAGTGTAATACAAGATAAGCACTACAATTAAATGGATGACCGCCGTTCATATCACCGTTATAACTTCCTAATGCCTGCGATACTCACCCGTACAACAATTTCTCTGTAATATTCTTGTTTGTTAAAAACACGGTATAGCTAAATAACGATGCAATAACAAGGAATATACATTTATTTTTAAAAGATATAGATGTATTGAAATGGCATACGTCGAATTATTTATAAGTCTGAAAGTGTTAAAAATAATAATGCATTCGAGAGACTATTAGACATCAGTGTTAAGAAAACAATTATTTCCCATTTATCCTGAAACATCTTGATAAAACAGTTGAAACTGTTTGGATAAACCAGGACCGGACTCGTTGTCTGTATACAACTGAATCAAAAATACAAAATTTTGCTATCAAGAAAATACGAAACGGATTTTCTGTAGGTGTTACTTATGTTTATTAGATACGAAATCATGTGAAGAAATGCACCTTTAATTGATCCATAGGACTGTATGCTGTGAAGTGATAAACTAGTGACCAAAAATAAAGCTGGTATAGTGAATAAAATATTAAGTGGTTGTCAATATGCATTTATTATGTTTGTTATAAACACTGCAAGGAAAACACACTCATCCTCAGATATCCTCAGAAAACACACACACATGTTCATACAGTAAAGCGTTGAAGAACGGTCAAGTCCGGTAGAAGCTGATGGATTGTCAGACGGTATCCTGGCTATATGTGTGAAAGGTTTTATCAAATTCACTGGGACAAAGCTATAGAAATAGTGTTTGTATCTTATTGAATGTTTTGATGTGTAACCGGTATATAGTATGGAGAAGCTTATTATCAACCGTACTATTTCTACGTTCCATTGCTACTCCTAGTGGATCCCGGGCAGCACAAACGTACCGTAGACATGGTTTTCCTGATGGGAACACCAGCATCCGAAGCCTCTTTATCAAAAGAACCTCGGAACGAAAGACGAGCCTTGCATCGTAAAACTGACCCAAAAGATGTCTGTGGAAATATTACGGATAATTAGAACGCCGTTAACGGGGTTTTCTTTAATTAATTAATTTAATTAACTGGAATTATTGAAAATACATATATTTTATTAGTAATGTTATTTTTAGAACACATTTGTTAGAATTTTGTATATCAAGAATCGAAGTATAGAAAAGTTTTAAGAAACAGTTTTAGAAAAGTTTTGTTAAAAAAATACGTTGAGATGCGCTGAAGTGAGCGAACAATGCATATTACAAAACCAAGTGTGTAATTTGAGAAAGATGCGAAACAATATTTGTAACATAAGAAACGAAATTAAAATGTAAAGAGTCAAAGGTATATAAATGTATAAATAGTTTAAACAAGCAAATAGAACATTCATGTGTACATTAATAGTAATATATATATAAATATATAAATCCGTATTCATATTTCAAATGTTCATAATTGCAATGCAAACTTTGTTGATTGATCACTATATTATCCTATGAATAATATATATCATGCCACGTATCAAGACTTACCTTATAATTTTATAAAATGTAATTTGCCTTACTACAGTTGAAATATATAACTGGAAGAATGCTGCAGGTAATATATATTGAATTACAATTGCTAGGTTTAAGAAGCATGCGCAGAGCGATATATTTGAAATCCATATGAAGTTTCATTGTATAGGAAGAAAGCTGTTTTAAATGTAATGTACATGATCATGCGGAATTCCAAAATGCGTATATATATAAACCCGGTGCTCTGGAATGCACATAGCACAATAACATAGTAGATATTCAATACAACCAAAGTTACTAATAATTCTTCTATGAAACATATTGTGTTTCATATCATGCATTCAAGCTTATATACGCTTTAATTTGCAGCTTTTGTATTCTACTGTGTATGGAATACATTTTATATTTGTTCTGCAATATGAAGTTATTAAAATATACGACTCGCTTTCGTGACGTCAGAATGCATGCAAGGAAGGAAAAAGTGGGCTATTAAATATTAAATTTTGAAAAAAACCGATTACGTTAAGTCTTTCTTTTTAAATAGGTAACAGAACAGATGTTTTTCATTATAATATAAATCGTCTCTACACATTTCGCGTTTGGTGGTGTCCATGCAACTTAGCGATTAACTTAACTGGATTTGATCATAATTTTATACAAAGTCTAAATATTTATATTTCAGGTAGGCATGAAAGCTACTGCTTTAAATAAAACACCTGCGAAGGCATATATATTCTATGATGGCATACACAATTAAAACAGAATGCAAAGCTGCTTTGCTCTTAAAATGATAATTTTATCAAATGCACCGATTTTTTCCCTGCAAAACCACAATAAGTCAAGACTCTGTCCTTACCTTTGATTTCTTAGAGTCAACGACAGATTTGTAAATAAATTCACAACCAGCTATAAGAATAGCTAGTGTCAGTCCTGATATAAGAATGTAGAATATTCCAGCAACATTGTTAAGCGTAAGAGCTGTTTGACCGCCATCCTGAAAACGAATTGAGATCATATGCAAACTAATCTCATGAAATGTCAAATATCAATTAATATATTTCCTGTTAATTAAGGACATTTAATTGCTTTGTCGTTCATTTGAGTCTACTTGACATGTAGAAATATTTTCTTCAGAATGTATATTTTATTATATTTATATACATTCTTCATCCTGTCTCAATATCAAAAGTACTAGCGAGTTTTATTCTTAGGTGTTCTGTTTTATTTGTATTATGATACATGTTTGTTTATAGACAGAACATGTTTCAAAAAAAATTAACAAAATAAACTAATTGTGATATCATTTTATAAACATCCATTAATCTTTGTGGATAAATGGTTTCACATTTTCCGTACACAATTGCTTATGTGTGTATTTTAAACATGTTTTTATACTTTATTTTGATATCATGACAACTTTATAATATAGTTTATTCGGAAGACATTTATTTACAAAACTGTTTATCAGCCACACTCACAGAAGCTGTGCCCGGGGATGGACATTCGGACCGGTCATCCCACCACTTCTTCTTCAACTGTTGGAGCTCCCCAGACTCACGGAAATGTAGTACGGCCAACGTAAGTCTATCTCTAACAAATGTATAACCACATATTGCATATAATATCAACAACATCTAATGTTATCACACTTGTTACCCAATCAACGTTAACCTATGATCATAAAGAATATACAATATCATCACATTTGTTAAAATATCCATTGTTATCGTTAAATAACCTTCTGCGAATATATCAATATCGAAAATATGTATTTATGCAAAAATCAGTAAGAAATGTATATCATGCTGTTTACCACAGACGTAATATAATAATTAGCTACTCATGATAATTAAATTTTACACAAATACAATAAATACATGTACATATTTCCTTATATTAAAGCATTAGCGATGGGATCAAATACAGTGATCAAGTTGTTTACAAAGTATGTTAACATTGCAAATCAAAAACCTTGACATTCCACTAAAAACACAGAAATATAGACGTCATGATTTACCAAAAAATGCAATGTCTGATAATTAGCTCATTTCCAGCAGTATATGTAATATATGCCGGCGTCTAGTAAAAGTGAAAAAGTTCGTTTAATTATTGATATGTAATGTTCCAGCAACGGTCTGAATCTAGGGTAGTATTTTAATAGCTTAGTTGATAACTTTTTTTTTTTCAATTTTACGAATAATACTCGATACTACCAAAGGTAGAGGGATCAATTTGCAAATTCATTTCAGTCTATTGAACTTTCAAATATATGATGGCTATACAAATGTATTCAAGGAAAAGTAAGAAAGACCAAATTTGTACCAAAATTATTGAAGAAATGATTTTTCATAATATTTCACCAATTTTTATACATTATATAAAAGTAATGATTAGTGGAGATAAACATTGAATAGAAGTATGCTTATGTTCATAGAGTAATGAATTGACCGGGGAAAATGGTACTGTAAAAGTGGCTATTTTTTGCGTATGGAAATGTTTACGTTGTGATTCTTTAAACTTCTGGTATTTTCGCGTGGACAATAGCATTGAAATATCTTTTTGCTATCTATCCATCTATCATCTATATAATCTATGAATAAATATTCGCGCGTGGATATTTTCGCGCTAATTTACAATAAACGCAAACATTTCCACATAGCGAAAGTTACCATTTTTACAGTATATTGTGCAGTAGGTCATGTTGAAGTTACGTACCTAAGTGGAGATCCTACTGGTGTTGCAATACCGTAACCCTTGGAATCTAAATTGGTGCCTACTTTCATAGTGTCGCATGGTTTCCTCATATTGGTGTATTCGTTCATAGTTGATTCTACTAAATAGGCATATTTCCCATTTGAACTACGCACCCTGCCAATGCCTGCAGTATTATTGTTTACGAACACACTTGGGTTTGCCGATGTCATATATGCCCACATCCTCTCGTATATAGCGACTTTGGAATACTGCAATTGAAAAAAGCGTTGGATACATTATACTGCAAGTATACACATTTTTGCGGGATTATTATTTAAGCGCTTTCTGCACGTTAGTTATTGCGCTTAGTCATGAATACGCCAAATAAAGTTCTTAGATATTGTTCTCTATTGTATATTTTCGGGGTGTCGAAAACATTGATATGCTAATCTATTTAAAATTCGCCAATGCGTTAAGATTTGAGTACACAAGTCGGTAAATAGTATTGAAAATTCTTATTTTGAGCTTCTTTAAATTTGTGATTTATAATTATAGTGTTATATTCACACAACTTAATTTTTTTATCAATATTTATTTTAAATTTCGGCTTCGGTATTTAACACTGAATAAAAAATAGAACGGTAGCCGCAAACGTAGCAAAATATGATATCACCATTGTCACCACTCAGAAGTAAATTCAGATGAATAATAAATATTAGAGTCGATGAGAAAAGGGAACACGGTAATTAAGATGGTATCAAAAGTAACGAAAAGGCAACATGATCCCAAACAATAATATCTTTTTTTTTACATAATGTATCCAATCAAGTTCGAATAAGGAGAATCGGGGTAGTCATTGCCAAGGAAACTTTTTTTATTATGGCAAGGATTTATGAAGAAATAAACAGTATAAAAATTACGTCGGTATCGCGGATACGGTTGTATAACATGAACCATGTGATAAGCTCTACTCAATTTCCGAAACACTTGTTTTGCGTTATGCTTTGAAATACCTTAATGACAAAGTGCATTGAGCTTACAAGACAACACCCAATATACGTATTACCTGAAGAACTGCGTTAGCAAGAATTTCAAAATTACTATACAATTGGCAAAATCATAGAGCGAAATTAAATACCAGCAAACACTAATACGAGGACATTTTCAACCCTTATAATGCGGAATACGTTATTTTGATAAAACACCTGTAAAATATCAAATTACTAATAAACAAATGTACTCTCGTGAGCGTTATATCTTAACCTGGCAGCGTTGCGCGAAAATTAAATCCCCGCGAGTTAGCTTTGATCGGTACTACCGCATAAAAGTAGCCCCGCGCAACTGAACAATTAAACACAACAAATGCACTGCTTAAACGAACTATATATTTCTTAAAAAATAATATTAACATTAGGGCATTGTTATTTGTGAAGGTGCGTGTTGTTACCTTGAAGAAGTCTTTAGTTGTACCAGCATTGAGCACTCCATATTGTATATTAGTCTGCTTGGCTAAATCCTCAGCAGATTCTATGGGGGTATTCATCCTCTCGACCGTGAGGAAGGCCGCTAGGTTGGCAGTGTAGGATGATATAATGATAAGGGTGAAGAACCACCATACACTCCCAACTACCCTTCCTGATATTGCTCTGTGAAATAAATGTGAAGCAAGGTATATTTAAAAACAAATATTTTAACTATATAAAATGGATATTTTTTAATTTTACTATGTTAATCAAGGAACAAATAATAGACTTGTGATACTAGTATTGTATCTGTAATCTGTTATCATCAAAAAAGGATGTAAACTTCGTTGAAAATGACAGAAAAGCGAACTATGATATACATTCCTCTAGTGCAAACTGATACTTAAAGTATGAAACAGGAGTTGTCTTTCTTGTGCATAACTCTCTTATTTGGAAAACGTTCTATACTAAGCAGCAGTACAATTTGTAATATATTTTTGCAACAATCAACACAAAATTGATTATTTAACAACAGTAGTGCACATTTATATTTACGTATGCATCCTGAACCATGCGCTCGTTAAACTTGTTTACTTACTTTGGGGATATATCACATCCTTGCTGCATAAACGCTCCTAAAGAATACCACAGACTATTTGATATAGTAAAATCGTTTGTTATACTTGAGTCATCCTCAACATGCCATTCGGTTGGACTGAAGCGACTCACGAGAAACAGAACGACACTCACACCAACATATGCGAATAAAATACACATCCAAATTTCGTAAGATAACGGGTCCATAAACGAGAATACGTGTGCTTTGGCATTACTTGGCTTCTTGATCATAATGCTGATTCCAAGACTCATGAAAGGCTTCGTAAAGTCTACAACTCTTTCTCTGGCGGAGGAAATGGTTATTGGCGCGATAGCTAAATCTGCTTCCTGAAAAGGAGACAATACGTATCGTTAGGCTGATTAATATTGCAAATTGTAAACTTTTATTACAGACAGGGTCATATTACATCTGTTAGTTATAGCGTAAAATCTCTTTGGTTTTAAGAGAAATGGTATGATTATGTATATAGCATTACATTTATTTACATCTGAACTGGATATTACAAATTGGTTTCGATTATGCATAGAGGGTAGACATTTTTGTCTACATGCAACGTTTCCTGTGAATAAAGTTGTAGTGCCACGTGTCCTGTAAAGAAATATTATAATTTCACGTGTCCCGTAACTACATCTTTTAATTTCACGTGACTGTAACTAAATAGTATACCCTCGTCTGTTTTCAAATTATATTTATTACCTAATGCGTACTGTAACCAGAAATAATTACACTGAATATTGATTTGTAAAATGATCTGTTGCCGTTAACCATTACTTACCCGTCGGGTGAGCTCTCCTATCATTCCATTCCACGTTCCATTCTCTAGCATGGTTCCATAATGTAAGTCGTTCACCAAACATATGTCGTACGTGAAGTTGACGTATTCTGCTATTTTTGCCGCCAAATCTATACAGAATCCTTCAAACTTGTGCTTTCCACAACGTACCTCACGAGACATATGGGCTTCAGGGTCTTTCAGTGCGTCATTTTTTATCATCACATAAGGTGGATCCTAATTTAACAGCACATATATACTGTTAGCGTACGGTGTTTAGCGGTATTATTATTTTAGCACTTTTCACGGTATTAATATTGCGCTAAATAATGACGACACTTATTGAATTTCCTGTATAGAGTTTTCTTTTGCATATATTATGATTGCGCTAATTGCTCAGTGCGCTAATCTGTTAAAATTCATTGATAAGCTATAAGTCCGTTAAAATAAGCACTTTTGTAATACTTCATAATGTTAATTATACAGTGTTGAAGAGAAGATAGGGATATTTTTCTTTTTTCTTTTTGGTACACTACGAAATATAAAGTGTTGTCAAAGTTATGCGATTATACTCACCAGGACTGTAGTGACGATTTTGGTCTCGTTTTGAGGAGCATTTTTGATGTTGATGTGGGGGACCACCTTTGGATCGTGTTGTGTTAGGCCTCCTTCTCGGGTATATTCCCCAACCTGTATTTACGTAACATACATCACTATCGTAATTTTCATTCATTTATTAAGGATCCCCGTCTCCAATGCATGTAAAGCGCTAGAACACTTTTACTGTAGATTTTTGTACATCTAGCAACGCAGAACCCAGGTATTACAGATGGCCCGGTAGCCCTTTTGGTTTTAGCAACAGTATTATAATCGGATGTCCAGGGGTTTAATCCTGTCCTGGTTCCGTCGCGTTTTTACAATCAAAATACTGTTTTGGACTTTTTTGTTTAATTCATCTTTATTCTTTCTTTCATTAAAGTCCTGCAAGGTATGGTCTACTTTTCCGAAATGAAATAATTCATCAAATATATAGCCATGCCAGAAAAATCGTTTCCAGTCCATAGTTAAAGTTTTTGGCAGTGGTACGGGGATCCTTAAGCATGACTTGTATTTTCCAAATCATTGGAAGATGCAGGTGTCAATGCCCCTTGAGACTATATATAATGAGAACAAGAATAAGGTCGTATAAATAATGTCCCTAGTTTCACCAGCATTACGCAACTTTAATTCAAAGATCTTACCCATCTTTAGTATTGACCAAGGCATTTCAATAACTTGAGCAACTTACGTTTTTGAAGTATTACTGTGGCATTATAGGTAGAGTTTACAGAGATAAGCATGTTATGATTTATAGAATCGTACCATACTGTGAGGGTGTGACAGTGAAATATCGAACCCGAGGGATGACATATTTGGTTGTCAAACCTGGGGCCCTGCCGATGGTTAAACAACTAAATAATCATACCGAGGGCTGCAGATTTCTCTGTAATAGCCTTCTAATGCAGCGAATGATTATTATTCTGCAATCATTCAAATACTAAGTTTGAAAGCAATAAGTGTTTTAATCCCTTTTGTTCCCGTGACGTAATAGTTTTGTTTCTTTTTACGTGCTATCTGTCATACCGTAAGGAGTGACAGAGAAATAATACTCTAGGGGCTACAGAAAAATCATACTCTAGGGGTTACAGAGAAAACATACTCTAGGGGTTACAGAGAAATCATACTCTAGGGGTTACAGAAAAATCATACTCTAGGGGCTACAGAGAAATCATACTCTAGGGGCTACAGAGAAATCATACTCTAGGGTTAACAGAGAAATCATACTCAAGGGGTTACAGAGAAATAATACTCTAGGGGTTACAGAGAAATCATACTCTAGGGGCTACAGAGAAATCATACTCTAGGGGTTACAGAGAAATCATACTCTATGGGCTACAGAGAAATCATACTCTAGGGGTTACAGAGAAATCATACTATATGGGCTACAGAGAAATCATACTCTAGGGGTTACAGAGAAATCATACTCTAGGGGTTACAGAGAAATCATACTCTAGGGGTTACAGAGAAATCATACTCTAGGGGTTACAGAGAAATCATACTCTAGGGGTTACAGAGAAATCATACTCTAGGGGTTACAGAGAAATCATACTCTAGGGGTTACAGAGAAATCATACTCTAGGGGTTACAGAGAAATCATACTCTAGGGGTTACAGAGAAATCATACTCTAGGGGTTACAGAGAAATCATACTCTAGGGGTTACAGAGAAATCATACTCTAGGGGTTACAGAGAAATCATACTCTAGGGGTTACAGAGAAATCATACTCTAGGGGTTACAGAGAAATCATACTCTAGGGGTTACAGAGAAATCATACTCTAGGGGTTACAGAGAAATCGTACTCTAGGGGTTACAGAGAAATCATACTCTATTGGCTACAGAGAAATCATACTCTATGGGCTACAGAGAAATCATACTCTAGGGGTTACAGAGAGATCATACTATATGGGCTACAGAGAAATCATACTATATGGGCTACAGAGAAATCATACTCTAGGGGCTACAGAGAAATCATACTCTAGGGGCTACAGAGAAATCACACTCTAGGGGCTACAGAGAAATCATACTTTATTGGCTACAGAGAAATCATACTCTAGGGGCTACAGAGAAATCACACTCTAGGGGCTACAGAGAAATCATACTTTATTGGCTACAGAGAAATCATACTCTAGGGGCTACAGAGAAATCATACTCTAGGGGCTACAGAGAAATCATACTCTATGGGCTACAGAGAAATCATACTCTAGGGGTTACAGAGAAATCATACTCTAGGGGCTACAGAGAAATCATACTCTATTGGCTACAGAGAAATCATACTCTAGGGGCTACATAGAAATCATACTCTAGGGGCTACAGAGAAACATAATCTAAGGGTTACAGAGAAATTATAATATAGGGGCTACAGAGAAATCATAATCTAGAGGCTACAGAGAAATCATGATATAGGGGTTACAGAGAAACATACTATATGGGCTACAAAGAAATCATACTCTAGGGGCTACAGAGAAATCATGATATAGGGGCTACAGAGAAACATACTCTTGGGGCTCTAGAGTAATCATAATCTGAAGGCTACAGAGAAATCATGATATAGGGGCTACAGAGATATAATACTCTAGGGGTTACAGAAAAAATCGTACTATATGGGCTCCAGAGAAATCATAATCGAAGGATTTCAGAGAAACACTATCTAGAGGCTACAGAGAAACATACTCTATGGGCTACAGAGAAACCGTAATCTAGGGGCTACAGAGAAATCATACTTTAGGGGTTACAGAGAAATCATATTATAGCGGCTACAGAGAAATCATAATCTAGGGGTTACAGAGAAATCACACTCTAGGGGCTACAGAGAAATCATAATATAGGGGCTACAGAGAAATCATGATATAGGGGCTACGGAGAAACATACTCTATGGGCTACAGAGAAATCATAATCAAGGGGTTACAGAGAAATCATTGTCTAGGGGTTACAGAGGAATCATAATCTAGGGTCTACAGAGAAATCATACTTTAGATGCTACAGAGAAACATACTCTATGGGCTACAGAAAATCATACTCTAGGGGCTACAGAGAAACATACTCTATGGGCTTCAAAGAAATCATAATCTAGGGGTTACAGAGAAATTATACTTTAGGGGCTACAGAGAAATCATGATATAGGGGCTACAGAGAAACATACTCTAGGGGCTACAGAGAAATCATTTTCTACGGGTTACAGAAGAGATATGAGCAGTTAAAACGGGAGATAATTATGTTTTTTGTTGGAGAAAGTCTGGATATTTTATTGCACATCAATTGATTATTTGCTATTGTTTTGTCATTTCCCCGTTTAATTATGATTGTGGTAACAAATATTATATTCTGAACATATTTTAAAGAGTTTTATCAGTTTTAGCACCATAATGTTGACCTACTTTCTATTGCATAAGAAAATACATTTTGGTCAAATTAAGAGCTTTTAAATGTTGCAATGTAAATCAAGACTAAATTGCATTGAAATCCTATTATACCTGTTTATTTTTAGACAAACAAACATGAAATAACAAACGTGTAATAAACAGATCATTAGAACGACAGATAACAATTTAATATTCATTTAAACCGATTCTGTTACGTAAGATTTTGATTTGTCTCATGGCGGGATGCATTGCAGCAGATTTGTCAACAAAGCCGCAAAGGCAGTGCTTAAGTTGTAGTCAGATTACAAGCAAAACAAAACTATTCTGATTTAAGCCTGCTTTAACGAGCAACATGAAATCTAAATAACATTGATGACATTCAGAAGACATCGAGAAATATCTTTTTGCAAGAATATTATGCTCTCTCGGTATCGTCATGTCATACCTATTTTACACATGCATATTTATTTCTCAAGAAGAACAGTGCTTTTGATTAGGACCGCAAATCATATATTGACCGCTTTGCAGATTTCAGACGAGTTCGGGACAATCATTATAATGTGCTTCATATGAACACATTACAGTGTAGTATTAACTTGTCTTTAGGACAGGAAGGTTTGAATGTTTATCTACTTATAATGCCCTCGTTGCTGTGTACGAATACAGGTATATTTGAACACTTTAATCATAAACGGGGTTATTCTGACTCAATGAATGTTGTGCGTGTCCCTTAACCATTGTTGCCTGAATGAATGTGGTTCTTTCAACGAACAACCACACCTTTTAAGGACCACTGTCCATCTACACTTTGGCGTTTTATATATATAGTTAATCCCCTTCTTTATTTCATTTTGGATATAACTAAAGTGCGATTGGGAAAAGATACTTCTGTTCGAGTCCTAATCTGTCCATCTCAATCTTCACATTCAGAACACTGTTGTTGATAGGGTTTTTTCATCTTTATTATGAATAATATGTTATATAATCATTTCTGGAAAAAAAACATACCCTGCAGGACTTTTATGAAAAATATTACTGTTAAAATATAATTAGCAACAGTGTTCTGAGTGTTAAACTGCAGTAGTGCTAGACCGGGATTCGAAACCCAGATTCCAGACTAATATATAATATCAATCCTACAGCTATAGCTACCTGGTCAACAGAATGTTCTGGCCAAACTGTGCTACAGCTATAACCAAACGGAAGTTAATGGGAGGTTGCTGTATACAGGAAATATCACAGTGCAGTAAGACAGGGTTCCTTCAGTTGTGTCATATGTAAAGTCATTTTAAGTGATAGAAAAGATCACCTTAGCTCTCTCCATATTCATTGTCGTCTGAATGAGGGGAAGCTTGAACTTTTTCCGAAACCCTCTGTCATCAAACTGTACTGTTCCCGTAAAACCATTGTATGTTGTCTGTAAAAAGATGTATACATTAAATTTTAACGAATATACTTGTTGTAAGTCAATATTTGAATTTGAATATTTGGAACCTTACAAATGTGTTATTTTTATGAATCTATCATTTAAAAAATCGTTTAATGCATTGTGTTTTATTTTTTATTCATTTCCTTCAATTTAACGCTAAACCCCTGTATAACGCTTAGATTTCTTCGGACTAATGGTGGCGGGTAGTATAACATAGCTTTACTGTACAAAACATCGTTATAATCATGTTACCTATCATCAAATATCATCATTATATTCAGCTGTATACACTAGCATAGAGTCAGCGTAAATCCACTGACAAAACAATACAACTTATATCAAATTATCATTCTACATGGTACAAATATATAGAGGACATTTAATGGTTTTCCATTACATACCGTATCTATTTCAATTGTATGGCAGAATATCAATATTTGTTCACGAGCGCAAAGCATAGTTTGATATGCTGCAGAATTGAACCGAAACAACCATTTATTCTGTTGGTACTTCATGTGAAATTTGAACTAACAATTTACGCAGTGGATGCAAAGGATCGTTCTGATTGGCCAGTGCTAACAGTAATTTCTCCACATGTGAGGCTATAACGTTCGTAGGCTTTCACTGCAGATAATTTAAAAAGAAAATAACAGTAAAAAAGTAGTAAATCAAAATATGTTTGATACATAAAACATAAAACATAAAACATGTTTGATACGTAAGCGGTACGTTGTGCTCAAACTGTGAGCTACATAACTGTAAGACAAATTTCTTCCTATACAAAAAAATAACGTTAAAACACACACATGATTGCACCTATACAATTTGGTATATATTATAATATATCAAACTGATATAACTGTGCGTTATAAAAAAAAAAGGTTAACTTCAAAACTTACATTTCTTAGAGCTCTCATGAAGGTTTTGCCTGGAACTCGACGAACATTTGCGTCCCCAACTCTACATTTCATTCCGGTAAGTCCCTGATCATAAAGATCGGGATTTAATTTTTTCGATGCTTTGTGTATCAGTCGGACGGCGTCCAGTACCAATGCCTTCTCAAGCTGTAAATAGTTATAGGTTACTTTTAACGTACGAATTCACCCGTGGTTGGAAAGGAAAAACTCATAAGAATACACAAAACGATATACCAAAAAAAATATTAATGTCACAGCAGAAAATTATCAACTTTATATTCACCGTAAAACCTAATACTGTGAAATCAGATATTTTTGTTGAGCCAAAATTTAGTGGTTTCCCAACAAAACACCATTTCGTGGGTACATGATCCGAGGATAACGAGTACCCACTCAAACAGAGAATTGCTTTATATAACATTTGTGATTATTTCGAGGATCTATGAATTCAACAAAATCAACGACATTAAAAACAATTCCAGGGAAAGAAGTGATCTCACAGCTGTTTACCAGTAAATAGGATACATTTTATTGATTTTAATTTTATTATTCCCAGTGAGATTCCTGTTTATCAATTAATTCTTTAGGATATACATTATTCAAAAGGCGTGTTACGGTACCGTATTAAGCAGAGGAGCCTCTTTGACGATTCATGGTTGTATTATCAGTTACCAATGTAAACCAAAGCTAAACTGAATGTGTTCTCATAACAGATACTGTAAAAGTGGAAATATTTGCAATATGAAAATGTTTGCACTTTTAGTGTTGAGTAAACTAGCGCGAAAATATCCATACGCAAATATTAATTTAGGTACATGTAGGAGTATAAGCATATATAGATTTCAGAACCATCGCCACAGCGAAAATTTCCACACCGCGATCCATTCGTTCCAAGGTTTAAAAAACCGCAAACATTTATTTCCAAACGCAAACAATGTTCACTTTACTTTATGAAACAGTATGTAAATATATAACCGATGCATACCGTAATCTTTTTGTTGAGGATATTCGCGTATATGTCTCTGTCCTTGCTCTTAGCTGGACCGTCCTCGGTGGCATTCAATTGGAATCCCGTCACATTTATTCCACTCCTTAGTGGCTCATCTCCCATATCATTAATATCCTTTAATTAAGAAATATGATTCGTTTACGGCATCTGTTTATCAAAACGCTCTTTTAAATCATTGATACATAATGTAGAAAACAAAGACATAACATGAAAAAATGCGATGAATAATCTCAGTTTTTTGTTTTTTATCTATCTTAATGTTTACCAAAAGGAGGCAAATACACCAACATATCGCCTCCGAAACAATAGCATATATTGTTCACATGGCACTTCCTCCATAACTGACTTAAGCTGTTAATTTGAACCTTACATTTCAAACCAAATAATTTCATTGTTATTCATTGGCATGCCTATTTACGCAAAAAAAACATAGCAACATCAGTATTTTCTAATACACTATTAGAGGACACATTTGTTCCTACATCTTGGATCATAATCACGTGGAAGTCAGTGATAACTGGTATACTGGTATAAATATTTTTAGAAGTAGCTGGCAATATTATCTGCATTACCTTACTTCAATTGACAATTTTTATTATGTTCTATATTGTTTAAAAACAAAAAGGGATACTTTTGTATCCAGTTATAATTAAAATGCCTTTATCATATTCAGGTCCATCTAACCTAACCACTACAAAAGTCGATAACTGATAAATGTAGTACACACCAGATCAGCAAGTAGAAAATGGAATCTGTTGTTGATCATATCACGGTCATTTCTCTGAAAAAAATGTAAAAACGGTTGTTTTACAGTATCGAAACATCACTGTAAGTTCTAAATGAAATTCCAATAGACATCAGTACACCGTTTTAATCCCTGTTCCATTGTTATGTGTTTTTCGTATGTATATTGAACTCTTTGTTCGGTATGGTTATAACTGAAGAACACTTGTATTAGGGCACTGCCGTGGATCAGGTAGCTCAGTCAGTTGGAGCGATAGTACAACAATCTGAAGTTCAGGCTGCATTTTACGCTCAAAACACTGCTTTGATAATATTTTGTTGATTTCATCTCTTTTGTTTGTCATGAATGTCCCGCAAGGAAAAACATGTTTACCACACTATATTCGTACAGGGAAAACAGTTTTCAATGCGTATTTGCAGTTTCTGACTGTTTTACGGGGATCTTTAATCTTAAATAACGTCAATGGAAACCACTTATCCAATAAAACGAATACAATCTAAAACATCAGGTTCGCCATTAACTGACAGGTTATTAACATCATTTATCCTATTCAAACATTATCGAGATAAAAAACATAAAGAATGACATGTAAAGTAAACATTTTGTCCGAAACTCAAAGACATAATGACAAATTATCACACCAAGATGTTAAACAAAGAATAAGAATTGCTGATGTTAACGACGGCCGTTACAAACGTCTTCCACACGATCCTCGAAGTAGTAATTTATACTGAAACAACACGCTGTATAATTCGTAACAGTGTAATACACTTACAAAACAAACTTGATAGAAATTGGTCACTACTAAAATTTCGAAAAATCAGAGACCATCTTGGATGCACAATTGGAAAGAAAAAAGTTGCAGAGAAAATTGTGTGACGATTTTCGGCCATATTTGTTTTGGTGACTGAACTATTTACACAGTATGTCAGTTAACGCATAGAAAAATTGTTGATAATTGCAAAAAATAAAAAATAACGAATAACAGGGTGTTTGGAATATATTAATAAAAAATCAAATAGACTGCTGTAGGATTACGACTCCGAGATCATTAAGATGTTTTACCAAGGCACAAATCCAATCAAATTTGCAACTTATATTTCAACTTAAATAATAAAGTGTAAACAAATTATATTGAAATATTTTATAAGCAGCATCAGATTAAGCTTGTACAGAAATAGCCATTTCTCATTCATATGCTCATACACTTATTTATATCTACAACATCAGGTAAATAAACTTTTCCAAATCACAGTCCTAATTATTTGACTTTAAATAGGTAACGAGCTTATTTTACAGTACATCACAGGATTTCCGCAAGAAATCGATAACTCAGCCTTGAGAATCGCAACACTTTGAGCGCTATGCAAAGGTCACTTACACACACACAATCATACAATGCGGCTATGTAAAGGTCACTTACACACACAAAATCATACAATGCGGCTATGTAAAGGTCACTTACACACACAATCATACAATGCGGCTATGTGAAGGTCACTTACACACACACAGTCATACAATGCGGCTATGTAAAGGTCACTTACACACACACAATCATACAATGCCGCTATGTAAAGGTCACTTACACACACACAATCATACAATACGGCTACATTTGTATGTAAAGGTCACTTACACACACACAATCATACAATGCGGCAATGTAAAGGTCACTTACACACACACAATCGTACATGTACAATGCGGCTATGTAAAGGTCACTTACACACACACAATCATACAATGCGGCTATATAAAGGTCACTTACACACACACAGTCATACAATGCGGCTATGTAAAGGTCACTTACACACACACAATCATACAATACGGCTATGTAAAGGTAACTTACACACACACAATCATACAATGCGGCTATGTAAAGGTCACTTACACACACACAATCATACAATGCGGCTATTTAAAGAATTGGTATCATGGATTACAAGAAAGTGAAAACATGCCACTTTAGTAAAGCAAAATTTAAATGCAATATTGCTTGTCTTGGATACTTTAGGATGTTGAGTCTTTAATATATATTAAATAAATATCATATCAAATGGTGAACATTATTTGTCCATCATTTGGAAATACTGAATATTGGAGAGTTTTGACTGGTGATTTACTGTAAACATACTTATTTTAGCGCATCATCACAATCTAACAGATCAGCACATTGATGAACTTGCCTGACCACAAAATATATGCAATTCAGAACAACATACATGAGCATGGCGCATTGATATTCTAGCGCAATATTGAAAGCGCTAAAAGCGGTAACATAAGACTACCGCTTTAATTAGGGTCTATTTCAGTATTCGTCCTTCCTCTTGAACATCTTTACCAACAGAACCAACAGAAGTAGCATACTAAGTTATAAAATATTTCTTAACAAACATGATAAATTTGCTCTCATCGGGCGAGCATTCGAAGGCGGCGAACACTTCACAATATTTCGAATAGAATAATAAGTAGCTTGTGAATAACGACGTTATAGTGATGAAAACTATTGTATATCGGGAAATTTTCGCCTAGTAAAATATTCGCCATTTCTGATAAAATTGATGTTCGTCTAGTGTTCATGTTGCCATCCACACGTAACTATTATATATGATGCATAAGCATGTTGTTTACTTATATTCGTTATTATGATAAATTCGCCATCATTACCGAAAATTAACATACGAAAATTAACCTTGCGACGGAAAATGTTCGTTATACGCTAACTAGACACACAGAAAGTATACTGTTTATCAAATAACCATGTGGTTCTACTTACGACATTCATTATGAGTGTCCTGGCCTCATCTGTTGTGATGTCCAGTAAGATCCGGAGGTTAGTATCCTTGACAGTCCCATATATATCCCTCAGCAACATGTACGATTCATGGGCGTCTCGTACTCTTTTAACGTTTATGTCGATTAACTCGTATTCTCGGACGTTGAAAGCCTGGAAGAGCTGCTGCAGTCGTATTAATCCTGACGAATATATTAAAAACAATATAAACAAAACACAAACAAATGTATATCAAATGCAAAAGCCCGGATACATTTTATCTATACTACAGATATTAGTTTTAATATGTATTGATTTATACGATTACAAAGATTAATATTCTGAGGACGTGCTTTTTTTCTTATTTGACATAAACTTGAAAAATCAGCACAAGCATATGTACTTGTCCCTTGTTCTTCCATTGCTAATGCGAACATTTGTAGACCACGAATAGCTTAAGATCTAAAATACGAAAATATTCACAGAAAATCATTTTTAATTTAACAGTATATTAATACTACATAGTAGTTATTTAAGTTTTGAATAAAGATACGTATCTGCATAATACGAATTATACATTAGGTATTTGCATCCTCATTAAGGTATGTTAGCATTTTCAAACAATGTAGACATGGTAAGTGAACTCGACGTGGTTGATATTTACAACGCATTTTTCTATTGCACCTGGTAATAAACAACAAACATGGTTAAAATCAAGTTGTTTCATGTGAAAGGACGGGCGCCCTGATATTAACGGATATTAATGTGACATCGTAATAAAATATAATGATTGGGTGGTATGCTAATACTATTTAGTTTGGGGTATTATAATACTATTTTTATAGTGGTATGATAATCGTATTTAACTTTGTAGTATGATACTGGTATCTAACTGTGTTGCATGATAATAGTAATCAATTGTGTGGTATGATAGTACAAATGTAGTAATCAGTTTTGTGGTAGGATATTCGTAATCAAGTGTGGTATGATATTACATATGTAGTTATCAGTTGTGTGGTTCGGTATTCGTAATCAATTGTGTGGTATAATATTACATAATTATGTAGTTCTCAGTTGTGTGGTATGGTATTACATATATAGCAATTAGTTTTGTGGTATGGTATTACATATGTATTAATCAGTTGTGTGGTATGATATAAGCAAACATTTTTGTGTTATCAATATTCGTTATCAGTTGTGTGGTATGATATTACATGATTTTTACAACTTTTTAAAAAATCTTTTTTTATACCACAACATAATGTGTTATTTTATTTACATTAAAAGTAGTTTTTTATAAATGGCGCAATGATTTTTGGGTTGATCAATCAAATGACATGCTGTAACTCCCTCACGCCGTGCTTTCAACGTCAATCTAGTTGAGACGGAGCTTCCTCGTGCTCCTTTTCTCTCTGAACTAATGACGCTAATGATGCGGCTATGTATTGTCTAGAACTTGGTTAGTCGTTGGGAATCCCTCAATATCAATATCGAGTACAATGCCCGGATGTCAAATACAACAACATATGGTGTCATACGATCCTTTAAGTTTGACAGATGAATATTTGTTTGTGAAAAGTATTACTTTGTGTACGACGTCATCAAACTATGTGCTTTTTCGGTTTATCACTTTTAGAATAAAAATGAACAAAATTAAAAAACGTGTCATAAACAATATAAGATCGCTTTTCTTAAAATTACTACGCAAACAAATTCCTTATATGCCATTAAAATTATGCAACCGGATGCGGCTGTATCTTGGTATGTTTAATGTAATATATGATTATATTCCTAAATAAACAATACCGATCTACACGGATTTCGAGATCCTCCTCTTAGAAAAAGTGGCGCTTACATGTACCCGAATATAATTCTATTTCTATTTTTATAACTATGCATGCGAACAGGGAGACAAGATAAAGATCCAAACGGCCATATTGAAAATCTAGTAGCTTGACAAATGATAGCAGACATCTACAGGAACTCCAGCAAGTGTTGTCTTAGATACCGTGACTCTTAGCAACGCCTATCATCAACTCAGAGTTCATTGGCTATTTCATTGTCAGTTCCTGGTATTTGGTTATATACATTTGTATGTGCAACTATCAAATTTAAACAAATGAATTGATTGCTCTCCTTATGACGCACATTGTGTATCCCCGCATACTTCAGAGATCTGTTAAGTTATCACAAAACCTTATTCCAATTACAAACTTCTATATTTAGACTGCCCTATTTCAACTTTTGTTAGTGCATCGCCTTTGTGAAATACGACGGTGATTTAAGCCTCTCCGATGACGTAATTGTCCAAAAAGATAAAGAACATAATAAATAAGAAGCAACATACGTGAGCTTCCCTTGTTGGAATGGAGCCAAAACTATTTTAAGATAATTTTGTAAAAAACGTCAATAACCCAGTGCAGTATTACTGAATTACATGAATGACGTTACCGAGAAAATTACCCGTATATGTCTAAGTTAACATTCTCAAAGTCTGTTCCTAAATCAGTTCTAACTTAGTAAAATGGTTCTCGCAGTGGGTATTCATCAACAAATATATAAAGTTGGACTCAAGATCAATATAATGTTCTCTGTGGGCTCGCTGGAAGTGTTTACAACAGTGTAGTTCATAGTTGTCATAGGTGTTGGAGAACGAATTGCATTTGCAGTACATAAAACACCGGTGTCTGGTTCCATTGCTTTACTCTTTCCCTTCATGTAAGAACTTTGAAAAGGTAATACCAACAAAAAAGATGTTTGTGATTCATGTCATGCATTTTGATGTTCATATGATGCACTTTACAGACATACACTGACATAATTTATTTCATTTATGTTTTTATGTCTTCAAAGCAGCTATCGTCGTATGCAGACGATCTGCATTAGACATCGTGCCAGATAAGAAATCTTATCTAGTGCAAAACACTGAAATGTCGGTTCGCTATGGACACATCGGCGTTTAACTAACAAAAGATAAAGATGTATTGGATGTGTGAAAAAGGCAGATATCGCAATATAGGGAGATGCAGGAGGAATACTACAACGAAGTTGGTTGTTGTATTGTTCTCAATCGAAAGGACACAACTCTGAAATCGTTAAATCTAATTTTCATAAATGCTAATTCTTAAAGGATGAAGGTAACACACATACAGATGGAGTTATATCAACGAGTGGTTCAATTTAAATGCTGAATTAAAATAACAATGCCTTATTATTGTGCATTGTATTATACATGTATATGTATAAATATGTGTATAATTATCGCACGTTCAAATGATCGTGTTGAGTTTAAACTGATCCTGTTCTGAAGATTTACGCACTTGCAGTGGTGTTGAAATCTACATAAACTATACAACTCTAAACTATGAATACATACATTTGTATTTGTGCCCAAATATAATCGCCCTTTTTCGCTCAACGTGAAAACCGCGGGTATTTTCCGGCCGCGAACACTTTTACAGTAAAATAAAAAGAGGAGGATTGTCTTTCAAAAGAAAATATGATGAAAAGCGATTTGAATATTCTGAAAAAAATTGCAGATTTATGTTATTTTCACGAAATTTAATGTACAATTAACGGCAAACTGGAGATTTTGTAAATAGTTAATATATATACATTGTTCGTATCTGTTGTTTGACCTTTTTATATCATGTATTTTTAAGTTTTGATTTCTTTTTAAACTATAAACATGTTATCGTAATATACATCCACTGTTTAAGTAGGTGTTAATGCTTCGAAGAGGATGCATGTTTGGTTTGTTTTTCTACATACTAATTTAGTATCTGTGTATTCATATCATGTAAATCAATTACAGTGTTTACAATTAACTGACATGACTTGTCCTTTGCTATGTCTGTTTCAATACTACGATGCCTTCAGACGTTCGCATGTACTTCTTGATATAATGAACTGCAGTGTGAGGTTTGGTTGTGGTCAGAATTGAAAGTTGTTACGAGTTTTAAGGTTTTCGTCCTAAAGAGGTGATAATTACACACCTATAGTGGACACCTGTAATCCTGCACGTTTCGAAACACTTGGCTTATCCTTACATCGTTACATCATCCAAACATTCAATATTTATACTGACATCCGTAATTGTGTCAAACTACTTAATTCTTACTAACATGTGCTCGTTCTAAGACACTAAATTAATACTTACATGACTTAGCTGATCAACACAAATCATTGTTGTTTTTAGAATTTGACTATGACGAAAACTGATGTACGCATGCGCAATAATGAGTGGTTCACTTTTGTCATTTAGGTGATGTGCAAAGATTAATTAAGGTTTTTATGCCACATATAACATTAAAATCTGTTACAGTTATCTCCCATCAAAACCTAAATTCACCATTAAATCATTTATTATCAAGAATATTTGTTAAACATGCCTTCCAAACTGCCATATAAAAAAACGCATTAAGTAATGTTTTAGTGTTGAACCTTGTATAAATGAGGCGAATGTGCCTAAAACGAAGGAAATATCCTTGAGAGGTAGCAAAACGAAACGTTGATACGATAATTATATAAGTATCACATTAATAATGTTACTCAAGATCAATTGATTGACTTTTAATAGGGTTTATGTATAAGTATATAGGGAATCAATTTGTAATATATATAAGTTGACTATCAAAGTAATGTACCGACACAATGACAATTAATTAAACAAGACTCATTAAACTTTCTGGTTATTGTACGTTAATACTAATTTTAATCCGGAGTACATATAAATAATTTCTCATTTTTAATTATACTTACCGCAAATGTAGGGATATATTTATTCAGCAATTAGTAAATGCTTAACAAACCTGATTACGTGATTGCTATGAGAAATTACAAATCGCTATAATTTAAACATTTCTGAAGTTATTAATGGTGTTTACTACTAAACTGACGTTTCAATCGGACTTTAATCAATCAACGTCAATACCTGGAAGTTTAAGTGTGATTTGCAACCAATGTTTATTATTTTTAAACGATTCCATCGGCAAATGCATGGCTTTCTCTGGTATAACAAATGCATGGCTTTCTCTGGTATAACAAAAGCAATGTCTTTCTGTTGAGGAAACAATTAAATAGTCAGATATCTATTATTATGATGTGGTGTTAAGGCATGAATTTAAGATCTGTTATGAAAACATGCTACTTTAACTGACAGCGGGCTGAGGAGTTTTCCCTCGTTGACAAAAATCAATGGTACAAAGGTTAATAAATAACATCATTCAATGATTTGAAGTTCGAAATTCATAATTCTATATACATGTAAAAGCGGAATCTAACTAATAAACGCTGATAAAAAAATATTTTTTAAATTTCTTTATCGCTATCTTTCCTTTCAAGGGTATTCACATATATAGTAGCTTCATCTGTTCACCAGGTTAATATACCGCAGGTAACTTGCTACTCTAGAGCGTCTTCTTTGAACAATGAATTATTCGGTAGAAGAGTGTAGTTTGATGACTAATAAATTATTTCATTAAATGATATATAGCCCATGTTTTCTACCAGAAATGCTTCAATCGACGCTGTCTTTGTGAAATCAATTTCGAAATCTACGATAAATGAGAAGTTTGTGGCATTATGCGTCGTTATTTACCTATATATCATCCAGTATTTAACTAGACACATATACAAAAGAAAGCTGACCAATAATGCCCATTTTTACGGTCCTTTTTATTATTAACAAACATACGTAAACATTATTATACTTTATAGATAAATATGAGAGTTATAGTCCGGGATCCATCCTGTCGTATACAGTATGCTCAGAAAGGAGTACCATAAAATACGAATTATTAAAATGAAATGAACGCATCCATTTGTCCTGAGCCTTAATCTATAAAACTGTTCAAATTGTTAAAAAAATAGGTTGTCAATAGTTGCTTCTTTTACATTCATAGTAACTTAAAAAAACCCACTTATGTTACAATTAAGAAAAAAATGCATGCAAACTAAAGCAAATTAAGGATCCAGAATTACTGGGTTAAAATATGTATTGATTAATTTAAATACCTCTTATATTTTACAGTTGTTTTATGCTTTTACATTCAATAGACAAAAGGGGGTCTCTGAAGTGCTGGGACCAACAAGATAAACTGTTTCCCGACCCTGCACTCCATCCAGTTGGTCCCTACACCGGGGGGAAATAGTTCCCCAGATTAATGTAACGACATGAAGCAACTGTTTTGTTTCCGGATCAATGAAAAACAAATGCTATCTAGCAACATTAAAACCATTATTTTATTCAGACCCCGGCTGTTGAGCACGTCTGTCAGCCAATCAGGTTTGCCAGGTCACAGTCAATATATTTCGCTGGTTAATCTGATTGATTGTTACAAGCCACTGTACGCCAAAACGTTTACAAGGCAACAGTCTAAATTATTGACCGAACAATATTTGTCATCTGTTAACTGGCTTACTACTAGTATGCATTCCTCGCAAATTTCTGAGGAAATAGTAAAAAAAATAAAAAATGTATAGAGATGAAATCTGATCTGATATAATATTACAACACATCATATTACAAAATGAAGTTTAATATACTGTACAAGTACTTATTTAGTGAACTCAAATTTTAGCGTATTATGGGTTTTTCACATATCCCATACGTGAATTGGCGCACTCCAAATCTTCGTAACTCGAAACAATATCCAGAAACTTTGATTAGCACAGTCATAATTAAGCGCAATATATATGGAACGAAAATCGCTTACGTTAGAATACCACTTAAAATGCACGCTTACTGTATATTATAATAGTATATCAAATAATATTGTGATAGTCTAGTGATTGATTAACTTACCTTCATCCGTATCGTATATATAAAATAATTCTTTCCATCCATAATTTACAATCACGTCTACGAGGCCGTCGATATAATGAGGTCTCATATACAGTTGATAAGGGTCGGCGGAAGTGGAATTTTGGGGCATGCTCAGTGTTATAAACGGCGCTTTGAACGTGTCGCTGTAGGATTGAATCGTTGACAAGGCACAAACTTTTGACATCCCAACAAATGCAAGAACTCCATTTTCAAGCTGCTCACATACTGAAATATAAAAAGAAAAAAATAACAGATTAGCAATCAATACGTCATAAATAGATTTTTGTTTTGTTTAATGTCTTATTAACAGCTAAAGTCATTTAAGAACGTGACTCCATGCATGTGTGCGAGGTATGTTTTCATGTGTGTATACGAGCTTGAGGCGATATTAATGTATTTGCTTTCTTGCGATAGCACGAAGCTGATGCCGTCTTTAGAGTGATATCCCACTAAAATACACGTACCATGTCAAAGGCACCCAGCTAAGAACTCCACCAGGACGCATTACACTGACAATGTGTGAACACCTAACAAATGCAATTATATCTGTTATACAGAAATATCAACTTTTTTTTCCACATGTACGCTGACCGAAACCTGCTTCCCACTTGAATGTATTTTTAGAAAAAATTGAAAGTGAGTTCTTTATAAAATCTTGTCATTTATCTCCTCTTACACTATCAATTGGCTTCATGTACGTTCGACATTCTGGCACAATTATGGCATTTGGCCTCAAGCCTGATGGCCACACTAATCAAACTTGAAACATTATTGGCAAACCCTTTATTAGTAGAATTCAGAAAATGGTTCTCAAAGCCAGACATTATTTGCTTTATAGAATCCACTCAGCGATTTGCATTTCACAAAACAATAAAAAAAGCATGTCTGCATATAAAGTGGACTTTTGACACGCTATGTTCTATAGATACACTTTAAAACGAGGGAAGCGTCTGGCGAATCAGACTGGCTTCCGGTCAATGATAAAAGTTTAATTTTCCTATATCATGTAGACGTTTAGGATGTGTTTCGATTGGGTATTTGGCACTGTTTCCGTGGCGGCTTGGAGAAGTCATACAAAATAAACACTAATGAATACAAGTATTGTGCTTTTGGAAAACGTTCTATTCTCACAAGGAAATGTAATTTGGGTTTTAGTTGGGTAGTGTTCTGGCCATTTTATTTGTGTCATACACCCTAGGTCATTGACTCTAACATATACAAAATTGTAACAGTGTTAAGCGCTACAGGGCTAACGTTTGAATGTATAAAATCTATACATTAGCGAGAAACAAAGAGAAAAAAACTAATTCTGATGTCTATCACACTCTTGAACTGCCAATAGCATTATCGGAATAAAGCTCAGAGTATGACTCCATAGCAAATACGCACCTCTAAGTGTATCAATTTTAATTGTACGCACAGCCTGGAGGTGTTGATGTGATCTGCGATATACGTGCAACCACCATTTAAAAGCTTTCATATCGTCATTACAAGTCTCTAACGTATTCTCGCGTTATATTTTTGAATTTTATTAGATTTTGTTGATTTTCAATGCCGTTGATTCTGTTTTAAAAGTTTAGTCAGGAAGATACAGACGTATCGGAAGCTGGATGGTCTCATACAATATTCACTCTACATGGATCACACAGGCACACAATTGTGTTATTTAGATCTAGTAGCAGGTCCACGCCATTAGAAGTGTTAATTCCGCTATAGAAATACAATACGGCCTGTATCGAAATCTTTATTAGAGTGTGTTGGCATGGTTCGATATTCGTTTGAGGCGAAAGACTCGAAACCATGATTTATATGTTATTGTATGTCGACTGGTGTCAAATATCTATTGCGATTTCTAGCATGTCCTCTCTTGATGCCGAGAGTGTAAATACCGAGGGAACAATGAGCTGGGATTCACGTGGTAATTTGGACGTGCGCGTGATAAATGAAATCGATGATTGATGGCCGCAGTGTGCCTAACGTATACGTCATCATAACGCTATGTCAACGTCATCATAGGACGTCATTGTGAAGGTCAAAAGGTCACCTTTGTGTTTAAGTACATAGTAGCATTATCTTAAACCCAAGAGAGAAGTTTGATTGAGAAATAGGTTTCACACATGTTTCATGTTCCGATTACATTTTCGAGTTTGTACTCTGAACTGAACGATAAAGCGTAGTTGATGCTGTGAATTGATAATTCTGCTTCATTTGCAAGCTTCTATATGGAACAACATGATGGAAGTACAGCATAAACAAAAAAGTCGTTGAAAACAAATTCCATTTAGATTGCGATGTCAAAAATTCCTTTGCTTAAATAAGGCCAAGCTCTCTTTTTCCTTTTTTTTTTTAAAAAAAGTAGTTCAATCTTTCAAGCTCGCTCCGAGGACAGTTTCCAAGGTAACAAATCATACCTTTCTGCTACACTATTTCTCTATATCTGTCATACTTTTACGTTTTACTAAACTTTGATACACAATTTTGAACGAGTGGCAACAATTGGGATCAGTATTTCTTTTTTTCTCATTATTTCCTACTCTTTCCTTCTATCAATGTATTTCTATGCATAATGACAATGGGCATTAAACCCCTAACATGATATTAAAACTCATTTTCCTATAACTGCTGCATTTATAAAATTATATATTAAACGCCTTAACAGATTTGATTATTTAGTTCCTCCTTATCCTGTTGTTTTCATGCGCATACTTTTATTAATAGTAGATACTTTTGATATTTTTCTGATGCCGACTCGGTGTAGATGACATTAGAAAATTATTTTAAAAAAAAGTTTTATTATTTTGTTTGGTCACAGTAGCAATAAGGTAACCACACAATATATGTATGTGGTGGTTTAAGCATGTACAATATGTACCTTCCGTTCTTTGACACAGACTAATTCCATAGTCTATGGCGGAATAATGAAATTCTACACCTTAATGCGTTGCTGCGTCGCGGTTATAGACTGTTTTGTAGGCCGGACATTTTTCCAACGATCAACACGACGATTTTGTGGCTTCACACTCAAACATCGCTATGGCGTCATGTTTCAAAGCACCAACAAAAAATGTACAGTTTTACTGCAAACATTCGCTTTTATGCACTTCCCAGTAAAGATTTATGAAGATACAGTTACTAATCAAAAGGTCACTTAGTACTGTTGTGTCCTATGGACGTTCTGTATTGAATACATGGTAAATGGAATGTAGAACCGCTTTTTGTAGAGAAAATGAGATACTATAGCATTACGGTATAATATAAAAACACTTTTTGTACTTCAGGTCTAACAATTTGAATAATTCATTACTTCTCATTTTTTATGAAAACTTGACAATTTACACTACAGAACCTTCAGAACCGTCCTACCAACACCTGCCTTCAGTACACGACATGGATCCATGATGTCGAAAGACTCGTCTGTTGTTATTAAGAACCGCGCCATCGCCCGAAGAAAAATGCTCAAAAGATCATGTTAGACACACACCGAATTCCCGTTCTTAAGGATCCCCGAACCACTGCCAAACACCCAAACTACGCTTTTGAAATGACTGTAACTTTGTTAAAAGATTTCTGAAAAGAAAACCTTGGAACCTACCTTCCGTGGCTTTTATGAAAACATAAAGATGAAATACATCAAATATGAACCCCTATAGCTTTCTGAGTGTAAAAAAGCAGCTTTGCCAGAATGGGATTCGAACTCGGGACCTCATATTGTTACGTTGTCGCTCTAACCGACTGAGCTATAAAGTAATTGGTCAACGGAAGTATATTGGTAAAAATGTGCTACAGTCATAGCCGAAATAGAATTAAGGGGAGGTAACCGTTTATACAAAAAACACATTGTATTGGTTGGACAAGGATCCATAAACGCATGCAATGTTTCCAAAAACCAAGTCAATGACTTAACATATACAGTTACTAACACTTATGAATCTATTATCGAAATGGTCCAAGGTGTTTTTTACCCTATTATGGGGAAAATATTGTATACGCTTACTTTGTTTTGTACGCCAAAAGTTGTTTAAATTATGTGAAATGGCTAGTTGTTTAGAATACGTAAATAGTATTCTGTGTAAATCAAAGGATTGAAATGAAATTGTGTACCTCAAAAAAAGAAACTTGGGTAAAGACCCCAATTTGGAAAATCCGTAAGCGTAAGTTCTTAACATTTGTATCACATACACGGGGAAAATGTGTTTTATATAATTCAATATATCAAAGTTTAGATACATACATGTATAAACAGGGCAAAGTACTGCGAGAAATCTATATTCCCTCATCTCCGAACAAACTTCGTTATCAATTCTACAAAGGGTCATATATATGCAAAAAGTTGAGACACAGGACCGAATATCAGTGCCTGACATTGCGCCATTCCAAGAGGTAATCGTATATAAAATGGGAATTGTTTCGGACAGGGGATATGAGATATGCCCCGGACAGAGTGATTCAAAGTCAACAAAGGGTCATAAAATTGTATATAGTTCGGGCACAAGATCCGATTTTAGTAGGCAGCTTTCCGCCATGCCAAGAGGTACTCGCATGCAAAATTTGGCAATTTTATATGTCGATAGGGTACATGCCCAGGATTAAATGACAAATTGAGTGACGGACGGAATGCAAATGTATAGTCCCCTTGGGCAACAAATTTTGGGGACTAATCAACTACAAGGAAAACTAAAACTAATTAAAGACAAATAACCCGGTCAATATATCCAGGTTCGAAATACCGATAATCTGAATAAGGGAACACGGAGAACCCCTGACAACATTAGGACCCGTATGGTAAACAGTGTGACTTAACAATTATCTGGCAGTGTGATTGGCACTTGTTTGTGTTAAATTGCCACATTTCAGATAATTTTATCTGCAAAACCCCACACTCTGACTAAAAATGTAACGAATTATTTCTAACACCAGGTCGAACACTACCATCCACATGGGAATACATCATCATGGAAGGAGAAAATTAAAAATATAAAAAAAATCAATAGCGAAACTACGATCCCAAGTCATCATCATTTTTGATTCTTGTTAGGTTATTAAAGTGCAGATTGCTGACAATTATTTCGATTATTTGTACGAGATTAAGTTAAGGGAAGCTTTGATAGGCCTACCGATGTTCAAATGTTCGATTAACAGACAGCGGGTCGTCTGGATGGCGTATATACATTGCATGCCTCGTTTCCTCACGGAAACTGGCGTTCGCCGCACGCTAGCGTCATTTC